TGGTCTCCCGGGCCACAGTGTCCCTCTAAAGGGAGGAAATAAGGCGTGTGCCAAAAACCGGAGCCAATGAAAGTGGTTAAACGGTCCCGAACCGAGGCACACGGCCGACGGCTCCGAAAACTAGAAACTGGGCTCCAAATGGAAAAAATGGCCTACGACCACGAAACGTAGCCTACGGCCACTGAGAGATGGTCTACGAGATCTCTCCCTCCCTTCGGGAAGAGAAAACAGAGAAAACAAGACCTGATTCGCAAATCGAGGCAAAGCACAAAAGAGCTCCGAAGTCCGGAGGCAAGGCTCGCAGCCGAGACTCCGCAACCTCAGAACGAGCACAATATGCAACATAACCGAGTGCTCAGTTGGTAACGTCTGAGTCCTAAGGTCGGTTAAAAATGGGGTGTCTACAAACACTATCTTTTTTTTTTGTACAAAACTGATTTGATCATGTAGTTATCAATATTCAATCACCGTGATTTTTTACATGCATATAGTACTCGACAAATTTTACATATTCAACGGTTCAAATTATCAAAACGGGACCCGTGATGAGCCCCCACAGGCCAAACAACATCGTTCTTAAGCTTGCCTCCGCTTGTGTAATTTGTTCTCACCAAAGTCAAGTAAAAGCAACTCACGTCAGAGTGAGTTGTACTTCTTTTTGTATAAAAATGCTTTTTTTTATAACTCTTTTTAGTGAATAATGATAACTTTTTAATCTTTTTAGCCTCCGTTTGGGAAGTGGGTTGGCTTTTTGGCTTTTTGGCTTTTTTGGCTATTTTAGCCTGGGCTAAAATGCTTGGTTTGGGAAGGACTTTTTGGCTTTTTGAATTTTTTGACTTTTTTTGTGAGAGAAGAGTGTAATGATTATGAGTTGGATGTGATGTTTTGTTTGTTGTGGCTAAAATAGTCTATTTTGTCTTTTGTGGCTATTTTAGCCCCAACCCAACTTGCCAAACACCACCTTAGTAACTTTTTGACTTTTTTCTTTTTTTGAAGATGCCAAACTAGGCTTTAGAGTACTAATTTTGGTGCTCTAATAAAACACTAATGACATAGCAATGAGGGAAAAAAAAAAACACAAATAAACAAACTAAAATCAAAACATCACATCACAGTAGATAGGACCCACTGCCAACTCATTAAACTAGTTTTGGAACTCAATAATTAGAACTCTAAAAAAAATTTCTTATATTTCACATTAATCATAATTTATTATATTTTTTTATATATTTTTTAATTCTTCAATATAAATTTAGAAATTTCACTCACTACTCCAATCATAAAACCACTAGGCCCAACAACCAACCAATAACTTCTCTGTCCATAGATTAAAAAAATCTTGACGCACGCAACGACGTTCGTTCCGAAGATATTAGAAGAATTGCATCTCCGGAATTCTACAAGGGATTTCGACGACTTTGGGATGGTTTGGTATAGATTACAAGTTAGGAAGTGCGGATACGGAATATAATATAAATATGGTGATACGATAAAATTTGAAAAAATAAGATACGAATGCGGTAGAGATATATTTATAAAAAATATTTTTTTCACAATTTTTAGTAATGTAGCATACACGAAAATAAAATTTCAACAATTTTTAGTAATGCAACATACATAAAATAAAACTTCAACAATTTTTAGTAATGTACCATACATAAAAATAAAACTTAGAGCAAAAGACAACTTGATAAAAAAAAAAATTCCTATGAACTAAAGAGTCTTCAACGTCAATAGGTTCAACTTGTTCCCCTTCATCAGTGAATATCACAGCTTCCATATCTGGTTCATCAAGAGAAAGACTTGCAATTTCAAGTAAGCCTGCACCCTCCAATGAATCAAAAGCATCTCCACCAACATCCCATAACTTGGATTCTCCTTCAATGTACTGTCGACTTCTCCTTGATAGGAGACGAAGATTGTTGTGCACAAAAACCAAATCTTCAGCACGTTGTGGTGTCATTTTGTTTCTTTTCATGGAATGAATAAAGGAGTAGGTGCTCCAATTCCTTTCACAGCTTTTTTTACCTTATTTGATTTATTAATAAGTTTACAAAGTTTATAATTTTATAAGTTGACAAAGTTTATTTTTAATAAGTTTATTTATTTATTAATAAGTTTTTTTACCTTATTTGATTTATTAATAAATTTACAAAGTTTATAATTTTATAAGTTTACAAATTTTATTTTTAATAAGTTTATTTATTTATTTGTTTTATCAGGATTCAAGTAATAGTACATACAAAAAAATTTAATAAGTTTATTTATTTAATTAGGATTCAAGTAATAGTAATAAGTTTATTTATTTTATTTATTTTATTTTATTTATAGAGTACACATACAAAAAAATTTTAAAAATAAAATAAAAATAAATATGCAAACAGAGACGACATAGATAAAGGAGAGGGAGAGAGAGATCGACCAAGAGGGGGCGGAGATGAGATCGAGATCTATCCATCTCCAACCAGACACAGACAGATCGAGTGAGAGGCAGACAGAGGGAGCGAAAGGGAGAGAGAGAGGACAAACCTGATCAACGATCGTGGAGCTCCTATTCGCGAACCTGATCGACGACCGTTGAGCTGCTGTTCGAGATCGAGTGAGAGGCAGACCGTGGAACTCCTCCTCCTCCTCCTCCTCCTTCGCGGCTGCTGTTCGAGTTCGACCTAGGTCAAGGTAAGTTTGATTATTATTATTATTTTTTTTGTGTGTTTTATTTTATCTTATTTTCATGTTTTATACTTTGACCCCATTTTAAGTTGTTTAAATTATTTTTTTGTCCCGCCGTATCCATACCGTATCCTGATCGTATCTCGACCGTATCCTCGCGTATCCTAGACGTATCCAAAATTCAAAAATTAAAAAAAAAATTAGATACTTCATTTCCCGTATCTGATACGTATTTCGCCGTATTGGACACGTATCCGTATCCGATACATATCCGATACGCGTACGGGGGCCATTTCGGAGTATCTGTGCTTCATAGACTACAAGGCCCCGTTTGTTTGGGGTTATGGGGAGGAGATTGAGTTTGATAGTGAGGAGGGGATTGAGAATGAAGTGTTTGTTTTGAGAGATAGGGAGGGGACTAGTAATCCCTTGGTATTAGTAAGGAAGAGGAAGGGGGATTGGTAAGTAAAAGGTAGAGATGGTATTAGAAAAATAATGAGGGGATTAGAAATTTTTTTATTTTTTATATATCGAAATTTTTTTTTAAAATATAATGTTTATTTTTCTATATTTTTTTATTTATTTTATTATTTTATATAAAAATAATTTAATAATTCTTCACTATCAATCGCTCACTAACAATTCTCTCGCTATTAACCCCTTCACTATCAATTCCCTCCGTTCTATCTCCCAAAAACAAACGGGCCCACGGGATTTCGACGACTTAAATACTGGCTCCAACCTCCTCTCTTTGGCACTAAAACAAACACCTTAAACACAATTCGCTAAACACGCCGTCGTTCTCTCTTCTTCTTCAGTCAATCTTCCATCTTCACTGAGTTTTTACGCATCATCATCAATGGCGGAAGAAGTCATTCTCTTGGACTTCTGGGTTAGCCCTTTTGCCTTGAGGGTGAAAATTGCCTTGGCTGAGAAAGGGGTAGAGTATGAGTCCAGAGAAGAGGACCTGAGCAACAAGAGTCCACTGCTCTTGAAGATTAACCCTGTTCACAAGCAAGTCCCAGTGTTGATCCACAACGGCAAACCGGTGTGCGAGTCACTCATCATTGTTCAGTACATCGATGAAGTATGGAACCACAAATCTCCATTGTTGCCTTGTGATCCTCACCAGCGAGCTCAAGCCAGGTTCTGGGCTGATTTTGTTGACAAGAAGGTGGGCCCTAACTCTTCCATATCTGTTTTACCTAACCACTGTTAAGTATTGATTTAAATATTGTGCCTACTTACCAACATTTAATTACTGTATGTTCTGCAGATATATAGTGGTGGGAAGTTGATGTGGTCGTCCACAGGTGAAGCCCAAGAAGCAGCAAAGAATGACCTCATTGGGTGCTTGAAGCTGTTGGAAGGAGAGCTTGGAGACAAGCCTTATTTTGGGGGTGACACCTTTGGCTTTGTGGATGTGGCACTGATCCCATTGTACAACTTTTTCTGTACAACTGAGCAGCTTGGCAACTTCAGGACTGTGGCAGAGTGCCCTAAACTTGTTGCTTGGGGTCATAGGTGTATGGAAAAGGAGAGTGTGTCCAAGTCACTTCCTGACCACCACAAGCTCTCTGACTTCTTCTTGGGGCTCAAAAAGAATCTTGAGGCTAAGTAAATCTCTAGAAGAGTGTTTAATTGGAGTGTTATTGCTTATAGGAATGTTTTGTTTATGTTATACTTAATAACAAAAATGATTGAGGGCTCTAGAGGTGTTTTAATGGTGGAATCTATTATGTAATGTAATGTTTATACTGCTTTTTCATGTTTTTTTGTGTCTTCGTGTTTTGTTTTTTTTCCCCTCTATATCACATCACTAAAATTCATATTAAAACTCTAGTTTTAGAGTTCTCAATCACTTCTCCTTAAATGAAGAAAGAAACTTTTTGTTGTTTTAATTGAAAAAAATGCTTGATTTGATTGATATTAATAATCTGATTCACACAACTTTCATTTTATTGAAGCATATTAGAAGATCTTGTTCAGTATTTGAAGAAGTTAAACAAGATCTAATTGCTAAGTAATGCAGAGATACAAATTTTGCATTGCCCTCATAGATGGATAATTCTGTAATTTCTACTGTGGATGCTTTGAACATACTACTAAACATGTTCTTAAAGTTAGTGAAAGTGGTTGGTCAATGAATCTCCCACTGCCAAGTAATGTTTCTTCCCCCGGCCAAGTACTTTATATGAACACCAATCTGTTTGTGATGGAAAAGTCTGTAAATTGCAATATAATTACAAGACTAGAACTAATGAAACATCTCTTTTACTTCTATTTCCTTTGAAGATACTACTCATTTTTTGGTCCAAAGAAAATGTACTGATGAAAATTAAAGAACAAGTAGTTCATTTCCTCGAGTATATGGCTATGCAGTTTAGCACAGCAATGCATATATGAATGTCAATTTGAACTTGATATACAACTAGCAAATGTAATCCACTTATTACATGCGGCCCTTGTCTCGATGCACTTCCAACTACGGAATTATATAAGAATTTTGAGGCATATGTGAAGCTTAAGATATGATTTAATAATTGAGAATGTATTAAGACAGATAGACATAGAAATTTGAGGACAGAGAATCCTGTATTATTACATGTTGTATGACTCATAGAAACATCGTTATTACATGTTATATGACTCATAGAAACATCGATATAGCGCATGCTATCAAAATAACTTCAATTGTGCAAATAGAACTCCTTGATTATCATGCCATTAATGCTATCAAAATAACTTCAATTGTGCAACTATAACTTCTTTATTAGGAATGGAAACGGGGCAAGGCGGGGCCGGGGATCACCCTCCCCGTCCCCGATCCCCGAAGGCACAAAAGTCCCCATCTCCGTCCCCGATCCCCGGCGGGGAACCCATCACCCTCCCCACACCCGCCCCAACGGGGATCGGGGATCCCCGACTCCGAAAAATCCCTGTAAAAAACAACATCCACAATAAACAACCCCCCAACAGAACAGATCATCAACCACAACATTACAAGAAAAAAAAATAGACAGATCTGATACACCCACACATACATGTATACATATACAATAAATGAACAAAAAAAAAAATGATACTGATACACACTCACACACACACATACATGTATACATATACACAGATCTGTGTGAATCGCGCACGGATCCATGTCAATCGACTCAGATTTACGCCGAAACATGGCTGAAACCGCGGTGCTACGGCGAGAGAGAAGAGAGAGAGGAGGTGCTACGGCCTACGGCGGTGTTGCAAATCTGCGATGGAGGATGGTAGAGAAAGTGTTGCGACGGAGGACGGCGGAGCGGCTGTTCTTGAGACTAGATCTGGTCTGGATCGACATGGCTTTGAGAGAGTTGACAAAGAGAGAAGAACCAGAGAGTGAGAGAGTGAGAAAGAGATGAGAGTCAGTTGAGATGAGAGTATGTATATGAGAGAGAGAGAGTTATGTGAATATAATAATACAACAATAATACAACTAAACATATAAATAGGATATATGCGGGGATCTTTCGGGGAAATGTCGAGCCGGGGCCGGGGCCGGGGCCGAGAAATTTATCCCCGTCCCCGGCCTAAAAATCATCGGGGATGTATTTTTTAATACGACAATGCTATGTAGCTCAAATTTTGTGGCTCAAAAATGGCTCAAATGGCCAAAACGACGTCGTTTTGAGTACAGAACAACATAAAAATGGCCAAAACGACGTCGTTTTAGCCATTTGAGCCACTTTTGAGCCACAAAATTTGAGCTACGAGACATTTTCCTTTTTAATACCAACCCCGGCCCTACGGGGAATAATTTTTGGGGAAAAACCTATTTATCGGGACGGAGCGGTCCGGGTCCCCGCCGGGCCGGGTTCATATTGCCATTCCTATTCTTTATTACCATGCCAATTGGAGAGTAAACATATAGATACTGTCAAAGGCAGGCCACTCTACTCTACTCTGAACATCTTATTAAGCTTGACAACAAACTCATAGAGTTTTTCTAGGTCTTGAAGAGAGTTGGACACACTTTCCTTTTTGATACACCTTTTAGCCCATGCCACCAAAAGGGGGCACTCTGCTTCTATGCTGAAATTCCCAAATCTCTCCAATGTGTAAAACCTGCTATAAAATGGGACAAGTGCAATGTCAACCAACCCAAAGTTGTCACCACCAAAGTAGGGCTTGTCACCAAGCCCTCCCTCTAGCAACTTAAAGATCTCTATCAGTTCTCTTTTGGCTGTCTCTTGATCTTCTCCTTTACTCATCCATACCTTCTTACATGCTGCATAAATCTGTGCCAGGCCACACAGTTTCAACAAATTAGTTGGGAAAAAATAATAATAACTAGAAATACTAGAAAAATTAAGTGAAGATGAAATGCGTGGAGCAAATTTATTCTATGTATGACTCACACTACACTAAATTTGAATTTACTTCATACACTTCATTTTTAGTGTACTTTATCTAGGTGCATAGTTTTTTCAATGAACCAACCACTGTGAGTATTTTGGGATAGGGGAGTGGAGATAGAGGATCATAATCGGTAAATATTATGCCTTTTGACCAACATTTACATGTGATATGTTATACAGATTTATAGCGCTGGGAGGCAGCTAATGTTTTCCACAGGCGAAGCCCAAGAAACAGCAAAGAATGACCTCATAGGGTACTTGAAGGTGTTGGAAGGAGAACTTGGAGACAGGCCTTACTTTTGGGGAGAGACCTTTGGCATTGTGGATGTGGCATTGGTTCCATCTTACAGCTTTTTCTTTGCTTATGAGCAGTGTGGCAACTTCAACATTGTGGCAGAGTGCCCTGCACTTGTTGCTTGGGTTCATTGGTGTATGGAAAAGAAGAGTGTGTCAAAGCATCTTCCTGACCAGCACAAATGTTGGAGCGCAAAAAGAGTCTCAAGGCTAAGTAAATCTCTAGACGAATGTTTGATTGAAGTGTTATACGTCGTACAGTTTCATAGTTCTCTTTTGGGATCCCATTTTATTTTTTCCTTTCAATCTGTAGATGTTATGCTTGCTTAAAGGGAATGTTTGTTTGTGTAATACTTGAAATAAAGAAGAGAACTTTTTTTGTTTTAATTGAAAGAGATCTGATTTGATGATTATTAATAATTTGATTTGCACAACTTCCATTTGATTGATACATACTAGAAGATCTTGTTCAGTATTTGATGAATTTGAACAGGATCAAATTGCTGTAATGAAGAGACACAATTTGTGCATTGCTCTCACAAATGGGTAATTCTTCAATTTCTAATTTGGATGCTTTCAATATGTTACAATAGTTAGTTAAAATGGTTGGTTGATGAATCTCCCACTGAATTATATCTCTTGTACTTCTATTTACTTTATACTAAAGAAAATACACTAATGAAGCACCACTTTGACTTGGAAAATGTTTGAGGTGCAACACCAATTTCCAAAGGTGATTTTGTTGGCAAAATTAAAGTACATTTGTTACACAACATTGGAGTATATGGTTATACAGTCGAAAACAATCATGCATATAGAAGTCAGTCAAATTTAAAATTTAGGGTATACATTTGGAAATTTACTTATTTTCTTTTTTGTCTGAAACTTAATTTTTTATAATTTTCTCAGCAGAATGTCAAGGCCCGTTGATATTCTAGGTTTTCTTCCTCAATCAATGTGGAAAATTCCATCTTTGGATTCTTTGTACGTTCTTGAGTAATTAGTGTAGCAAAGTGACTACAAGTCTAAAAAATTTTACTCAGAATTTATGTATAAATAACGATTAATGGTTCAAATTCATTTTACTCATAAACACCACACACTTCACCAGTTTAATTTCCATCTCTACAAAGTAATTCAGAAAAAAAAAAAAATGTAGAATAAAATTATGAGTTAATAGAATTTCTCATAATATATATTAGGTACTAGGTATGTTTTATCATTACAAATAGAGAGAGGTTGCCTTGGGTTATGTTGTAAGTCAGTCGGATATATATTGTGTAAAAACAAAATTTATTGTAGTGAATTTTTATTTTAAAAACTATAGCTTCAAATTCTATATTGCATTCTCATAATTTTCTTGGAAAAAAACGATCCACAATAAATGATTATATTAAAAAAGTTTTGAATATTCTAAACTTTTTAATTGTTTTAATTTAAATTTTAAAATATTAAAAAATTATGATTTGATTTATTGCCAAGATAAAACCTGAGAGTTTTTTGTAATTTCCTCTAATATAATTTTATTAATGTAATATGTTAGAACATTTTTAACCCTTCATTTTTTCTTTCATCAAATTTGAATTTGACAAAAAAATATTCAAAAATCATCTACAATCCTTTCATCAAATATTCATCAAATCAAGAAAAATTTTTTTTTTTAATCAAATTGTGAATTCATCAGATTTGAATTTGATGAAAATTTAAAAAGATGAAACATCAAAGATAATTTTTTTTTAAATCAAATTTGATGAAAAGAAAAATTGGGGATAAAAGGAAAACTTTTATAATACAATTGATGAAAATTTAATGAAAATATTAGAATAGTTCATATTAATCATTTTTTTATTCAAATTTAAAATTAAATTAGATAAAAAATAATAAAAAATTAAAAATTAACATAATTAACCAATTTAATTAATTATTTTTATAATGTGATGCAATATAGACCATGGACACATTATGTACCTCTTAATAGGGTACATTTGTAGACTTAATTTTTATTTTTTAAACACAATAATTCAAAAATAAGTTACATGGCAAACACGACTCTAAGAGTGTAAAAATAACCCACGGTTCAGGGGTAGCCTGAATCCCGTTTGTGGTTTGGGGTGAGCCCGGCCCATTTAGGCCTCGTTTCGGCTCAAGCCCAACCCGAGACCCTAGGCCTAGGACTGGACCATCACTTTGAAGCCTGCCCCGACCCGCGCTTATGGCCCATTCAAGCCCCGACCCTAGGTCCAGTGTCTTTTTTTGTAAAAAATAATAAAATTTTAGTTGAAAAAAAAAATTTGTTCATACTCGCCCAAGGCCCGAATACTCCTTAGGTCTGGACTTAATTTTCTAGCCCGTGAGTTGGCTTGGCACCGAATTTTGACGAGAGTCCGCAAAACCCGACATGAGCCAGGCCGAACCAAATTTACACCTCTACATGACTGCAATAAAGTGTTTTTTAAAAATTAGACCCACACTCATGAAAAATTATTTATTAATCTTGAAATATTACGAGATCATACTTCACAGTAATTACAATTCATTATAAATTTTTTTATATTTTTTAATTATTTAATATAAATTTATAAATTTCACTTCCATCACTAATCATAAAACAGTTTTAATTGAGACTCCCAGTCTCCAATCACCTCCACCACCATCCCCCGCCCGTACGTAAAAATTGAGAACACACGTAAAATTGATCATTAGATCAAAAAATAAACAAATAAACAGACCAGTCACAATTCATTGGACCCTGGTCACCCCCAGTGGGGACTCGGGTATTTTTCACACAACAACCAACTTAGCTTCCGTTTGGGAAGTGGGTTAACTTTTTAATTTTTTAGCTTTTTTAGTTATTTTAGCCTGGGTTTAAAAGTTTGATTTGGGAAGGACTTTTTGACTTTTTAACTTTTTTGAGTTTTTATGTGAGAGAAGAATGTAATGATTATGGATTAGATGTGATATTTTGTTTATTATGACTAAAATAACCTATTTTATTTTTTGTGGCTAAAATAATCAAAAAAAATTCAAACCATAGCTTCCCAAACGAAACCTTAAAAACAAATAAACAGACCAATCACAATCCACTGCACCCGGGTCACCCGCAGTGGGGACTGGGGCATTTTCCATCATAAAACCATTTGGCACAACAACCAACCAATAAGTTCTCCGCCCATGGACAAAAAATCTTGACGCACGCAATGACGATCTTTCCGAAGATACTAGAAATTAGAAAAATTGCATCTCCGAAATTCTACGAGGGATTTCGACGACTTTGGAACTGTTAAGTGATTATAATTTATTTTAGTTCTGGAGTGTAATTTATTAATGATAATCCGTACTATGCACGGTAAGTAAAAAATAAATAATATATTTTTATATAAAATTATAAAAATAATTAAACTTTTGTATGTAAATTATGAAAACAAATAAGATTAAAATTTATAATTTAAATCTCACAATTTTATCATAATTTATTTATTATTTTTTAATTTGTCACAAATTTAGTTATGTAATTTTCAACTGCCATTGTTAGAATTGCAAATTTAGGTGAACTTAACGCAAACAACTTAATTCAAGTTTAATTTTTTTTTTTAAATTGAGCAATATAATTTTTAATCAAGTGAGGACCTATGCAAAAATTTAAAAATTCAAATTAAATTTGAGTAGACTTTTTATTTTTTTGAGTCATATTACATTTCTATTTTTTACACATCTTTTCATAAAAAATAAAAAAGTATACTTAATTATCTTTTTTGAGTCATATCACATATTTATTTTTATGTACATATTTTCGTAAAAAATAAAAAGTATACTTATTTAGCACTTCCCAAACTACCACTAAGTTGATATTAAAAAAAATTACTTTTTATAATGGCATAAATATTTTAAATATGTTTTTTTAGAAATTATTTTTAATTTAAAAATTACAATAAAATATTAAATAGAATGAAAACAAATTTCTTACAAAATAAAAGTATTTGAATAAAAAAAGGTAAGAAGAAAATTTAATATGGTATTTTCATTTAATCTGAAAATAATTTTAGATGAACAATAAATTATCACTTATAACCCTCTTTTTTTTAAATAAAAAAAAGTTTAGCGAACTATCACTTTTAATAAAAAAAAATTAACGTTTCTTTTTAATTTATTTTAGCAAAAGTTTTGAGCCAAAGATATTTTTATTCTTTATTTTAATTTCTTTAATTAACAATTGAGATTTTAAAAAAAAAATTCTAACAAAATTCACCATATTTGGTAAGTATTAAAAAAGTTACGCTTTGTTCTTTTGTTAAAAAAAAAAATTATATGAAAATTGTTCAAGTCTTTATTTTTATAAAATTTAAAGCAAAAAAAGAAAAAATAATTTAATAGTGATTAATAATTTGAACACATGCATATTATGAAACATGTGAATATTGATCTCATTTAATTATAGCAATATAATTTGAAAAAAAAATTAATTTGAAATTTTATTTTATAATTTAATAAAGGATACAAAATTTAAGAAATGAATATTGGTTTCATTCCAATTATAGCAACATAATTTAAGTAAGAATCCAAATTTGAAATTTTATTTTAGGGTAAATTATAAATACACCCCTTGAGGTTTGTTTAAAGTACAAATTGCCCCATATGGTTTGGAAAATTACAACACCCCCTTTACACATGTGAATATTGATCTCATTTAATTGTAGCAATATAATTTGAAAAAAAAAAATTAATGTGTAGTTTTATTTTATAATTTAATAAATGATGCAAAGTTTAAGGAATGAATATTGGTCTCATTCCAATTATAGCAACATAATTTAAGTAAGAATCCAAATTTAACATTTTATTTTAGGATAAATTACAAATGCACCATTTGAGATTTGCTTAAAGTACAAATTGCCTTTTATGGTTTGGAAAATTACAACACCTCCTTGTTAAATTTTTTTATTTAACATTAACTAAAAATATAAAATTCATAATTGTTGTCCTATACAATAATAAAATTACCCGAATTGTTAATTGAAACATATTTCTAACATCATTAAAAATTGTTAATTGATTTAATGATTTATTAATAAAGGATGGCGATTTGTTATGAAATTAGAAAATCTCAAGGGATGGAATGTAATTTTCAGAACTATATGGGGCGATTTGTATTTTAATCAAACCTTAAGGGATGCATTTATAATTTATCCTTTATTTTAAAAATATAAAATTAATTTATAAACCAATTATATCGTAATATGTATTAACAACAAATTAAACAAAATAAAAAAAAAATGAGAAAAAAGAATTACAACTTTCAATCTTAATGAAATGACAATATTTTACAATTATAATAATATATATATAGATAAATCATAGAATAGATCATTATTTAAAACTAATATATTATGGGATAAATCATTATAATTTTAAATTTAAATTAATGAAATGTTTTCCATATTTAGTGCGTATAAATGTTATACTTTATATTTGAAAATCATAAATTTAGAGATATTAAACATATATATTTATTTATTTATTTTTGCTTGAATGAGAGCTATAGAGGATTTTTTTAATTATTTAAAATCAAAAAATTAAAAATTTTAGTTTGAGATACTAAAACTCCCACAACACTTGTGGTTATAAACCCTTTTTTACTTATATAATAGATAGATAGATGGATAGATAGATTCAATAAAAATTTATATTTGTTTTAGATATTTTTTTAATACACAAATTTTTTTTAAAGATTTTTTTATAAAAATAATTTAACAATCCAATCACTAACCATAGTATATGAGAGAAATTAGGAAGTGTATAGCAATAGGTATGAGAGAAGTCAAAAAGATTTGTCGGTTGGAAGAAATCAATAAATGCTAAGTTTTTTTTAAAAAAAAATCAAAAAATTAAAAAAATAAGATTGAGATATTAAAACTCCCACATGACTTGTGAGTTAGAAACGCTTTTTTCCTTATATAATATATAGATTAGACAGAAATAATTTAAATAAGTTAAAAAAATTTGATTATTTAAAAGTTAAAGTAGAAATAATTTTAACTTTTATTTTATAGTTATCAATTTTTAACTTAATAAAAATTCTACCAAACAAAACCTTGAACGGTCCTCAAAAAGTTATATTATGACTTTGCCTGAGAAATAGATTGACTTTTTATTTTTTTATTATTTTAATCTGATTTTGAAAAGTTCATTTGCATTATTTTTTTATTTTTTAAACTTTTGTTATAAAAAAAATAAAATAAATAAACTATGACTTAAATATAACAATTTATCTTATTAATTTTTTAAGACTGTTATATGTTTTTATAATTAATTTAACGATAATGCTATGTAACTCAAATTTTGTGGCTCAAAAGTGGTTCAAATGGCCAAAACGACATCGTTTTGAGTACAGAACAACATAAAAATGGCCAAAACGACGTCGTTTTGGCCATTTAAACTACTTTTGAATCACAAAATTTGAGTTACGAGACATTTTCCTTAATTTAATGAGCGAGTGCTCCAACCCCCCTCCTTCGGCATTAAAACAAACACCTTAAACACAATTCGCTAAACCCACGTTCCTTGTCTCTTCTTCTTCAGTCAATGTTCCATCTTCACTGAGTTTTTACACATCATCATCAATGGCGGACGAAGTCATTCTCTTGGACTTCTGGGTTAGCCCTTTTGCGACGAGGGTGAAAATAGCCTTGGCTGAGAAAGGGGTAGAGTATGAGTCCAGAGAAGAGGACCAGAGCAACAAGAGTCCACTGCTCCTCAAGATGAACCCTGTTCATAAGCAAGTCCCAGTGTTGATCCACAACGGCAAACCGGTGTGCGAGTCACTCATCATTGTTCAGTACATCGATGAAGTATGGAACCACAAATCTCCATTGTTGCCTTGTGATCCTCACCAGCGAGCTCAAGCCAGGTTCTGGGCTGATTTTGTTGACAAGAAGGTGAGCCCTAACGCTTCCATATCTGTTTTACCTAACCACTGTTAAAGTATTGTTTGAAATATTGTGCCTACTTACCAATTATTGTATGTTCTACAGATATGTAGTGTTTCGAAGTTGATGTGGTCATCCACAGGTGAAGCCCAAGAAGCAGCAAAGAATGACCTCATTGGGTGCTTGAAGCTGTTGGAAGGAGAGCTTGGAGACGAGCCTTATTTTGGGGGTGACACCTTTGGCTTTGTGGATGTGGCACTGATCCCATTTTACAACGCTTTCTATACAATTGAGCAGCTTGGCAACTTCAGGATTGTGGCAGAGTGCCCTAAACTTGTTGCTTGGGGTCATAGGTGTATGGAAAAGGAGAGTGTGTCCAAGTCACTTCCTGACCAACACAAGCTCTATGACTTCTTATTGGGGAGCAAAAAGAAACTTGAGGCTAAGTAGATCTGTAGAAGAGTGTTTAGGCCAAGTTTGGCAATCCAAAAATAATCTGTCTTTTTATATTTTTATTTTTTTTTTATCATATCATTTTTTTATTTTTCTGCACATCTTTTTATAAAAAGACAAAAAATATACATAACAGCCCCTAATTGGAGTGTTATGACATAGTGTTTGCATTCTTCTCTTTTGTCTATATTGGGACCCTTTTTCTTTTTACAACATGTTCTCTGGATGTTGTGTTTGCTCATGGGAATGTTCTGTTTATGTTATACTTGAATAACAAAAATATTAGGGGTTTTAATTTTGGAGCTTGGAGCTTTAAAAGAGCTTTAATTGTGGGACTCACCATATGATGTGATTTTATGCTTTCTTTTTTTTTTTGTGTTTCTTTTTTTTGTTTTTTGAGTTTTTTTTTTTGGTCTATATGCCACATTACTAGAACTCATATTAGAGTTTTAATTTTAGAGTTAATCACTTTCCTTTGAATAAAAATAGATACTTTTTGTTGTTTTAATTGAAAAAATGCTTGATTTGATTGATATTTATAATCTGATTCACACAACTTTCATTTTATTGAAGCATATTAGAAGATCTTGTTCAGTATTTGAAGTAATTAAACAAGATCTAATTGCTAAGTAAAGCAGAGATACAAAATTTTGCATTGCTCTCATATATGGATAATTCTGTAATTTGCACTGCGGATGCTTTGAACAAACAACTACGCATGTTCTTAAAGTTAACGAAATCTCCCACTGCCAAGTAATGTTTCTTCCCTCGGCCAAGTACCTTGTATGGACACTAATCTGTTTGTGATGGAAAAGTCTGTAAATTGCAATATAATTACAAGACTAGAAATAATGAAACATCTCTTTTACTTCTATTTCCTTCGAGGATACTACTCATTTCTTGGTCCAAAGAAAATGTACTGATGAAAATTAAAGAACAAGTAGTTCATGTCCTTGAGTATATGGCTATACAGTTTAGCACAGTAATGCATATATAAATGTCAATTTGAATTTGATATACAACTGGCAAATGAAGTCCACTTATTATATGCGGCCCTTGTCTCGGTGCACTTCCTACTACAGAATTATATTAGAATTTTGAGGCATATGTGAAACTCAAGATATGATTTAATAATTGAGAATATATTAAGACAGAGAGACATAGAAATTTGAGGACAGAAAATCCTGTATCATTACATGTCATATGACTCATAGAAACATCGATATAGACCATGCTATCAAAATAACTTCAATTGTGCAAATATAACTTCTTGATTACCATGCCAATAATGCTGTCAAAATAACTTCAGTTGTGCGATTGTAACTTCTTTATTACCATGCCAATTGGAGACTAAACATATAAAGACTGTCAAAGGCAGGCCACTCTACTTTACTCTACTCCTAACATCTTGGCAACAAACTCAGAGTTTTTCTGGGTCTTGACGAGTCTTGGACACACTTTCCTTTTCGAAACACCTTTTAGCCCATGCCACCAAAAGGGGGCACTCTGCTTCTATGCTGCAATTTCCAAATTTCCTCAATGTGTAAAACCTGTTGTAAAATGGGACAAGTGCAATGTCAACCAACCCAAAGTTGTCACCACCAAAGTAGGGCTTGTCACCAAGGTCTCCCTCTAGCAACTTAAAGATCTCTATCAGTTCTCCTTGGGCGGTCTCTTGATCTTTCTCCTTTACTCATCCATACCTTCTTACATGCTGCATAAATCTGTGCCAAGTCACACAGTTTTAACAAATTAGTTGGAAGAAACAAATAATAATTAGCAATACTAGAAAAATTAATTGAAGATGAAATGCGTGGAGCAAATTTATTCTAGGTATGACTCACGTTACACTAAATTTGAATTTGTTTCATACACTTCATTTTTAGGATACTTTTTCAAGGTGCATAGTTTTTTCAATGAAAAAATGTATAAAACTTGCGAATGTATCACTTCAGGACAAAGAATCACAGAAGATGTGACTCCCTCCATCTCAAATTGTTTGGAAGGAGAACTTGGAGACAAGCCTTACTTTGGGGGGGAGACATTTGGCTTTGTTGATGTGGCATTGATTCCATCCTATAACTTTTTGGGTGTGTGTGACCAGTTTGGCAACTTTGGCATTATGGCAGAGTGCCCCTCCCTTGTTGTTTGGGCTCATAGGTGTATGGAAAAGGAGAGTGTGTCCAAGTCACTTCCTGACCAGCACAAGGCCTATGACTTCTGCTTGGGGCTCAAAAAGAAACTTGAGGCTATGTAGATCTTTAGAAGAATGTTCGATTGTGGTATTGTGACATACTGTTTCACAGTTTACTTCTGTCTCTTTTGAGACCCCCTTTATTTTTTGTTTTTTTCTCTTACCTTTCAATCTCTAGATGTTGTGTTTGCTTAAGGGGAATGTTCTGTTTATGTTATACTTGAATAAAGAAAGACACTTTTTGTTGTTTTAATTGAAAAATACTTGATTTGATTGACATTAATAATCTGATTCACACAACTTTCATTTGATTGAAGCGTAATAGAAGATCTTCTTCAGTTTTTGAAGAAGTTGAACAAGATCAAATTGCTATGAGTACTGCAGAGATACAAAGTTTGCGTTGCTCTCATATATGGGTAATTCTTTAATTTCTAATGTGGATGCTTTGAACAAGCAATTTCCCATATTCTAGTAGTTAGGCCAAGTTTGGCAAGTTCATAAAAAGTAAAAAAGTTATTCAAAAAATTAAAAAATTATCACTATTCACCAAAAATAAAAAATTACGGCTACACAACTCTCAATCTTAATTTTCTCCTACACACTAATTTATACATTTTTTTAATACACATTTTTTCATAAAAAGTCAAAAAGTTAACCCAAATATCCATATTTTTTTCCTCAATTTTTTAATCTAAAAAGACAAAAAGTGTACTTATTTAAGACATCCACAGAAAGGTTAACTTGGATTGTGTTGCATGTCCCTTGGCTATATCTTGTAAACATGATTTTTTTTTTTTTTTTTGGGTTGTAAACATGTCCGTTGGTTATCAACCTTGCTTCATACACCCAGTGGGGGTCGTGCCCCCAGTGACGTGGCGCACCCCCACTGGTCAGAAATCAAAAAAAAAAAAAAAACAATTTTTTCCGGACCAACCCCCAGCTGACACCTCACTGGGTGTCACCCCCAGCTGGGGGTAGCAAGCATTTTTCGTTGGCTATATATCTTCCAATTCTATCCATTATAAATGATTATAATAGACAAGATTTAAACATTTAACTAAAATTTTAATATAAGCCAACATCCACAAACAATCTCCCATTTTGTTCCGATACAAGTTTCAAACAGTTATTTGTCCCCATAAAATAAAAAAGGTATTGCTAATAACTGCTTTTAGCGTTGAAGTAAAAGACGAAAAAATTGAAGAATACAAGACATTTTAATTAAAATTAATATATTTTTTTAACATTTTTACACAAATCAAATGCTAGTTTATTTGAGCAAAAATTCATTTGAAAAATGAGAAATAAGTCAATAAGTAAAATTATCATAATATTCTTGTCGGTATGACTTTTGACAGAAATGCATTAATAATGCATGAGGTAATATAGTAAATTTATAATTTCACAAGTGATGTTACACCATATAATAAGAATTTTTAAAAAAACAAAAAAGTTTTACTTTCCAAAATGATTTTATGAATAAGTCAAAAAGTAAGGAAATAAGCCAAAAATTTGCTTATTTCCATCTTTCCAAAATAGGCTCTTGTTTAAATATATATTTTTTATTTTTGTTTTAGTTATAAGTCAGAAAATATGAAATTATGTCATTTTTTTTTTAATTATAAGGTGCATATTTCCCTATGTTTTTAGCTTTTACGAAAAATGTACAAAAAATAAATGGATTAAAAATAAATCTTTGTTTTTATATATATGATTTTTTAATTTTTGGATTAAATTAGTTTATTGCCAAACAATCCCTAAGACACTAAAATATTACATTTAAACACTCATCACTCATAAATTGCATTACTTATTATTATTATTATTATTATTTATTTTTATTTTTTTTTTAAGTCTCATCACTCATAAATTATTATTCATAATATACGATATCAATTTTCATTTTTATTAATACCTTCATTCCTAACGTTATAAAAGTAGAGGGAATTACACATCAATAAGAATAAAAAAATATATATTTACAAAAAAATAATAAACATTAAAAATATTAATAATTAGAATCATAATTTTTTTCATTTTTTTGTAAATATTTTTTCCTGATGCTACTAATGTGTAATTTCCCCTAAAACTAATCCTCAATCCCATCTCGATGATCCCCACCATCATCCTGATTTGTCACATATTTTTATGATTAAAGCAGAGATAGAGTACTTCAAACCTAAAGTATACATAATTATTATACATAATGTTATGATATATATCGGGGAAATTCTAGCATACACACACCTTAAAAGGGGTGTATCATATGTACCTTAATTTATGTCATTTTTTCAGGGGTGTATCATATGTACCTTAATTTATGTCATTTTTTCTTTAATTATGATTAATTTTTTTTTTAATTATGATATTATTTTAGTTATTAATGATCCTCATGTGATATTTTGCTATTATTTTTTATTTATTTAATTTAGTTATAATATTATTTTAATTATGACTAATGAGATCTTTAATTATACTTCATTTGATGTTTAGTTATTACTTTTTATTTATTTATTTTAGTCATGACTCAAAAATTATGGAGTTATGATATTTTCTCTTTTAGTTATAAAATATATATAATACACACTTTTTGAAATGTATGTACCATAATCTTTTCTATTATATTATGTTTTCTTCATTTTAAATGTCTATCATTATAATTATAATTTACAAGTATATTACTTTACGATATTCTTATAACAAATTATGTATAACAATTTTGAAAATTTAACATTTTATTTTTATTATGAATAGGTGTAAGGCTGTGCTGTGCGTTTGAAAGTGTAATTTTAAGAGATGAGTTTCTCTTCAGTTCGTGATCGGACTATAGAGTACTGTTAAAGTTATGAAGGCCCACCACAAATCTCATTTCGATAATTCAAACCGTTTAATGTGTAGAATTCGTCGAGTATTATATGCCTGCAAAAAAATCACGTTAATTGTATATCGATAGCTATCTCATCGGATTAGATTTCTGTCAACCGTTTATTGTTCACCATTTACTTTTTTAACACAAAACTG